GTATATAAATATTGGGTCAAAAGCTTCTGCACAGCAAAGGAAAGATCAACAAAGTGAAGAGATATCCTACAGAATGGGAGAAAATATTTGCAAACTCTTCAATTGACAAGTGATTAATAACCAGAATATATAAGGAACTCAAGCCAATACCAAAGGAAAAAAAACAAAACAAAACAAAATAATCCAAGTTTAAAAATGGGTAAAAGATCTGAATAGACATGTTTAAAAAGAAGACATACAAATGGCTAAAAGATATATGAAAAATTGCCCAACATCACTAATCATCAAGGAAATACAAACCAAAACCACAATGAAATATCATCTCACTCCAGTTAAAATGGCTATTATGAAAAAGACAGAAAATAGCAAATGCTGGCAAGGATGTAGAGAAAGGGGAATGCTCATACACTGTTGGTGGGAAGGTAAGTTAGCACAGCCACTATGGAGAACAGTATTGAGGCTCCTAAAAAAGCTAAAAATAGAAATGCCATATGATCCAGCAATTCAACTGCTGGGTATATATCCAAAAGAAAGGAAATCAGCATGTGAAAGAGATATCTGCACTCCCATGTTTACTGCAGCACTATTCACAATAGTCAAGATAGGAAATCAACCTAAGTGTCCATAAAGAGAATGGATAAAGAATATGTCGTATATATACACAATAGAATATTAGTCAGCCATTAAAAAAATAAAATCTGTCATTTGCAATAACATGGATGGAACTGGAGGACATCATATTAAGTGAAATAAGCCAAGCAAAGAAAGACAACTGTTGCACGTTCTCACTCATACGAGGAAGCTAAAAAAATTGATTCATGGAGGAAGTGAATATAGTAGTGGTTACTAGAGGCTAGGAAGGGTAGTGAGGAGGGCAGATAAAGAGGGGTTGGTTAATGGGTATAAAAATAGAGTAAGATCTCATGTTTGTTAGCACAATAGGGTGACTTAAGAAATAATTATTGAATAGTTAAAAATAACTGGAAGAGTAGATTTGGAATGTTCCCAACACAAAGAAGTGATAAAGGTTTAAGATGATGGCTGTACCAGTTACTCAGACTGACCATTACACATTGTATGCTTGTATCAAAATATCCCCGGCACCCCATAAATATGTACAACTATTATATATCCATAAAACTTTTACAAAAAGAAATAACAAAGGAGAAAAGTTATGGATTTAATTATCTAACATTACATTCCACATTGCCAAGTCATCATGAACAAAATTTAAAGACAAATAACAATCTGGAAGGAAAAAAAATTGGGGTATTTCAGCAACTTTCATGACAGCAGAGGTTATCTGTTTATTCATTGTGCGGTAACTAACATTTAACCAGGTGTATAGCCCACAGTGATGGCTGAATGAATGAAAAAGATCAATATCCCAAAATATGTTAAGTAGCTAATATAAATAAGAAAACTCCATAAAACCTGAATAGACAAATAGTCAAGAAAATGTGAAAAGGCATTTCACCTTGGTGTCATCGTTGGCTTTTTCTTACACAGCATATCAAATCCTTTAGCAAATCTTGTTGGCTCTACCTTCAAAGTAAATCCAAATCTGATTGTTCTTCCTCACGCTACTGTTGCCTTGTACAAGTCATTATATTTTGTCTGAGCTGCTACAGTAACCTCCTAACTGCTCTTTCTGCTTTCCCTCTTGCCCTTCTACAATATCAAGGTAACATTTTAAAATGTAAATCAGAATGTATCACTTTTTTGTTCAGAATCTTCCACACTCTGCCCATCACACTCAGAGTAAAACCCCAAGTCCTTTCCATGCATATGAGACACTACATGATCCTGCATCTTGGCTCGCTCTCTGGCCTTACTTCCACTGCCACTCCCCTTCATTTCACCCGACCAGCCAGGCTGCTCTTGTCATTCTTTGAACATTCCAAGCCCCCTTCTGCCCCAGGGTTTTAGGGTCTTTGCAGTTGGTGTTCTCAAGCTGGAAATATTCTTTTCCCAAAGAAGTGCATGGCTTGCTCCTCTCTTGGTCAGGGGTCTGCTCCACTGTTACCTCTGCAATTAGACCTTCCCTTACCAACTTACCTAAAATAGCCTCTCCCCCATCATTCTTTATATACTAAAAATGTTTTTCTCTCCCCTCCATTTGACTCTCTCTACCTTACTATGTACAAAACAGATAAAAAGAGAAAAAATGTCTCCCCAGAAAATTTCTAAACACAGGCTTACCCTCAAGTCATGGAACTGGAATTCCTCCTGGGTACCAGGCAGAAGCATATATAAACTTCTTTGATTGGCTGCACTTTTAATGTTAGGCCTCAAAGAATTACCATATTTGTAGTCATACTATAAGGTCACAATAAAAAAAATACAGAATTCATAAGGAGCCATTATGAATGAGGGCCAGCAGACAACAAACTAGTAGCAGATCCACAAATCCAGATACTGAAATTATTCAGTGCAAAAATATACATATATTGAGCATATTTTTTTAATGGATAAAAATATTGAAAGTATGACATAGGAAGACGACTATGGAAAATATCAGCAAATTTAAGAAATAATCAGAACTTTTAGAAAGAAAAGTACGTAACGTCTATTCTAGGAAGCACATAAGTACAGTTAAAGAGAGCATTAATGTACGAGAAGAATCTGAAGAATTGCATACAGTGCAGCAAAAAATGAGAAAGAAATAGTAAATATGATAACAGGTTAAGAAAGACAAAGGATAGAGGAGGATGAACACGTCTGATAAGAGTTCCAGGAGCAGAGGCTAGAGAGAATGAAGGAGAGGCAATATTCAAAGAGCTGATGCTGAGAATTTTCCAGAATTGTTTAAAAGGCACTGATATTTAGGTTTAGGAAGCTCAGTGAATCCCCACAATGAAAAATGAAAAGAAATCCACACCTATGCACATAACAGTGAAATAGTAGAGAGAAAGAGAAGATCTTAAAGAGAATGACAATTAGACTGATAGTCAACTTCTACCCAGAATAAATGGAAGCCAGAAGAAAATGGGATAATATAATCCAAGTGCTAAAAAAAAATCATTGTAACCAGAATTTTATACCTACGAAAACATATTTTTCAAAAATGAGGGCAACATAAAGCATTCACAGGATTAGACAATTTACTACAGATCTTCACCAAGGGGTGTTCTGAAGGACATATTTCAATGACAAAGAATATTATGCCAGAATGGACGCTGAGATTTAGGGGAAAATGGTAAGCAAAAGGAATAGTAAAATGTGGGTTAATTTTAACAAACATTGAACTATAAAGTACTAATAATATCTTCTTTTTGGGGTTAACAAAAAGTAGATACAGCAGAAATACTAGACAACAGTAGTACATAAATCAGTAAGGGGTGATCAGAGTATTAAGGTACTTGAATTGTTTGGAAAAAAGATAAAGATACAGAATAATTGTAGATTTTATTAAGTGAAATAGCTATTTTAAAATTTAAGGATAACCACTAAATGTTTAGGAATATATTAATAGTATGTAATTTTTCAAGCTAATAAAAAGAAAAAGCAGTGAGAAAAAATTTGTAATCCTACACTTAGTCCATCCAAAAGAAGGAAACAGAAGAGGAAAAAAAGAAAAGGAAAGGAAGAAACATTAAAAATAGAATGAGTAAAAAGTCTACAATAAGATGGAAAAAAAGTGAAATCAAATTGTATCAGTAATCACAAAGCCTGTAAGTGAACTAAATACCCCACTAATGAGACAGATTGTAAAGGTGGATATTTAAAAATCCATCTATGTTCTTTTTATAGAAAAATCTTAAACATAAGGATGCAGAAAGACAAGAAGCCAAACAATTTTTTAAATGAATAATGTAAATAGAAAGCTGATGTGGCTATATTAATATGTAAGAATCCTTTTTTGGCAGAAAGCATATTAGAGATAAATATGATCACTTCATATTAAAGTTTTAATTCTCTAAGAAGATATATGTCTATACATTTAAATATCACAGCTTCCAGATATATAAAGCAAAAATTGACCAACTGCAATTGACAAACAATAATGGGCAAATCAACTGTTATAGGGGAGATTTAAATTTCTCTTAGAAATTAATAAATCAAGCAAACAAGGTTATACATATGGACAACACAAATAACTAGCTTAATCTAGTGAAACGTGTAGAACAGTGTAGCCAACACTGAAGATTACATATTCTTTATGTATAACCTTTTAAGTACCTATGGAAATATAAAAAATTAAGAAAAACAAAATAAACCCAAACAAAAACATATGGAGGCAAATAATAAAGGTAAATGCAGAAATTAGTAAAACAGAGGACAAAGATACCTAAAGAGGATCAACAAAAGACACATATGGTAGGGACTGGCACATAGTAGGGCCAACAATTCAATATCTGTTCAGTGAATAACAAGCAACCGAAAGTATAAATGTGTGTATAAAAAAGTCTGAAAGGAAATTCACCAGTGATTAAACCTGAGTTGGGCTGTTTGGGATTAGCTTGCTTTTATTCTTTATTCTTGGTATTTTCTGAACTCCCTGTGTGTATTGCTCTTATAATTTTATGAAAACACATGATTTTAAAATCAATACATAGATTTTTGAAGGAGTAGACTAGAGGTTGGAAGTCAGGAACTATCCTAGACACCAATTCTGGTCAGAGGGCACGAGGAGGTGCAGTGTAAGTGTGTGCTCTTTGGAGGTATGTAGGTGCTCTGCCCCTCAGTACGTGGATGACCTTACACATAATCTCTCTAAACCCGTTCTCTCACGTGGCAATAATAAGGCTCCCTCAAAGAGTTATTGTGGTAGGTGGCCATGTAAAGCACTTAATCCAGTGCCTGATACTGCAGATGCTGGGTAGTCATTTGCCTTCCCCTGCTTGAGGGGTTAGCATGAGGGAGATACCTGTCTTCATTTCTAAGGAATGTGCCTAGCGTGGAAGGCAAATTTGATCAGTCTAAATATGAAACTAGATGAAAGCTTAATATGTGAAATTATATTTGTGCCCTCCCAAAGAGCCAAGAAAATTAAGAAATGAACCAAGTAACTCATCATATTTATTACGTGTAAGAATGAAGGTGCAGTATTATCATTTCCTTGTGATAGTCACATCTAATAGTTCTAAAACCAATTCACAGTATTCTTGTCAGACTTATTTTATGAGACATTTAACCATTGCTAAAGTAAATTTCATGAGGAAATATGCCTATATAACTTCTCTGGAGTTACAGAGATAGAAATCTGACCCATCATTTCTGTTTTCATGGAAAACCATTTAGCAGAACTTGGTTCCAGTAGAAGTGTTTATTAAGTTGTAAGCTTAACACAGTTCATTGGCAGTGTGTATTTCCACACGGACATTTTTCTCAGTGCAGATTTGCTCAGTTCATTATTACTGACAGCAGATGGTAGCACTTCCACATGAATTTACCTCCTGAATCGATCTAAGAAATGTCACTAAAAGGATCCCAATGGTTTTGATGTTCTTCCATCTCTGAAAAGGGTACATTAAACAAATAAGGAGTAGAGTTTAGATTTTTTTTAAAAAACTCTAACACATAATTCCTAAACCAACTAATGACTGCTTTCATCTTTGATTCCGGCTGTTTGAAGGAAAAATAGTAGAAAATACAGATAATCTTTCTTGATAGCATAAACCTTACAAAATCTCCATTGGAAAATAATGGCTTTTGGAGAATATTATCTACATTGATTGTCTGCACTGATAACATCAAATTACTTGTAAATTCTCTACTCTACTTTCTCTGAATACAAATTGCTGGGCTTGCAGAATCACCTGATTGACTGTGACTGAAAAAATAGTATCGGCTCAGGTCACTATGCTAACTTTTGAATTCTGTGATTTCTGCAGCATTAAGATCTCCACAGGATTAACCACATTTTTCACTTACAGACCCATTGGCTTGATTTAGGCTTAAATCAATTTAAAATTATCAGACAAGATTTAATGTTTGATAAATGAGTGAATGATATAATATGTGAATTCTAGTCACATAAAGGAAACTTGTTATTTTTCTATGTCATATGATCATTATTGCATTCTTCATAACTCAAGGGTTTATATTCAGTAGTCCTATATATTTAGAAACAAGGATTTATTTGGAATATTCTAAAAATTAATTTTCCATTTGTGTTTGAAATGTAATTAATGATTTGGCTAATTCGCCACAACTAAAAGAAACTGATACATTTTAGAAAGCATTGAGTATTGAAGCATGTACAATTTAACCATGTAAATTAATTATGGATGCTTTTGACACATTGCTAGAAGAGTGCTCATGATTAACAACGTACTTAAAGGATTTGCTTCACAACAAGAAAAAGCTTTTGGGTTCCATATGCTTTCAAAAACATGCTTACTAATATTCTAACAACAGAGGCACAACTTAATACTTTTTTTTTTTTTTTTTTTTAAGATAGTCTTACTCTGTTGCCCAGGCTGAATGCAGTGGCACAATCTCCGCTCACTGCAACCTCTGCCTTCTGGGTTTAAACGATTCTTCTGCCTCAGCCTCCCAAGTATCTGGGACTACAGGCGCCTGCCACCATGCCCAGCTAATTTTTGTATTTTTAGTAGAGACAGGTTTTTGCCATGTTGGCCAGGCTGGTCTTGAACTCCTGGCCTCAAGTGATCTGCCCACCTCAGCCTCCCAAAGTACTAGGATTACAGGCGTGAACCACCATGCTTAGTCAATACTGACTTAATTCTGCTAAAAGATAGCAACTTTGGGCCAGGTATGGGGGCTCATGCCTATAATCCCAGCACTTTGGGAGGTGGAAGGATCGATGAGTTCAGAGTTCAAGACTGGCCTGGCAACATAGTGAGACTTTATCTCAAAAAAAATAAAAAACTTAAAAATATTATTGAAAAAATAAAATATGGCAATGTTGTTCAATATGCTTTCGTTTCTTTCCCCTTCCTTTGTACCATTATTGTCATGTATATTACATTTATGTTATAAACTCAACACTACAGTGTTACGATTTTTGCTTATATAATCTTATGTCTTTTTAAAAAAATTAAGAAAAGAGAAAGTACTTAGTCTTTTATATTCACCATTTATGACACTTTTCATTTTTCCCTGTACATTTGAGTTACACTCTGGTATTATTTCCAGAAGGACTTTCTTTAGTATACCTTATAAGGCAAATCTACTAGCAAGGAATTCTCTCAGTCTGTTTCCCCGGGAATATATTTATATTACTTTCATTTCTGAAGAATGTAGAATTCTTGGTTGACAATTCAGGTTTTTTCCCTCATTACTCTGAATATGTCATTCTCCTCCTATCCGGACTGATAAGAAGTCACCTGTTTTTGAATTGTTATTCCTCTTTATGTGATGAGTCCTAAAGGACTCAGTTGCTGTTTTTAAGATTTTCTCCTTGTGTTTAGCTATCAGTTATTGGACTATGATGTGTCTAATGTGGGTCTTTTTATATTTCTACTTAGAGTTTGTTGAGCTTCTTGGATCTGTAGATTAATGTATTTCATCAAAGTATAGAAATTTTTAGCCAGTATTTCTTCAGCTATTTTGCCTGCCCTTTTCTCTCCTTCTCTTTTTCAGAGTACTATTATATGTATTCTGGTACAGCTGATGTTATACCACAGATGTCTAAGGCTCATTTTTCTTCAAGTTTTTCTTCTCTTTTCTTCACGTTGAATGCTTTCTATTAATATACTTTCAAATCCACTAATCCTTTCTACTGCTGTCTCATATTTACTATTGAGTCCATCTAGTGAATTTTTTATTTCTGGTATTGTACTTTTCAACTCTAGAATTTCTATTTAGTTCTTTCTATAGTTTGTATTCCTCTATGGAGATTAGCTATTTGCAGAGCCATTGTTATAATTTTTCTGTTTTAATTCTAGTTTTCTTTAATTCACTGAACATATTTATAATAACTGCTTTGAATTATTTGTAAATCCAACATCTGAGTCTACTCAGTGTCAGTTTTTAATAATGATTTTTCCCCCTGGTATGAACCACACTTTTTGGTTTCTTTGCATGTCACATAAATTCCTTTGAAAACTAGACATTTTAGATAATATATTGCAGCAATTCTGGATTCCAATATTTTTTCCTGAGGGTTGTCTTTTTCTTGTTGTTGCTGTTGTTTTTGTTTGGTTAATAACTTTCCTAGGCTTTGTCTGCAGATTTTTTTTTTCCCTGTAAGTATGGCCACTGATGTCTTTGCTATTGGTTTTTTAATTCTTATTTTTATTTTTTAGACTGCCTTCCTCAGGGTTATCCAGCTATGTCTGTAAAGCTTGCAGGTTGGCCAATGATTGGACAGAAATTGTGCTCAAATATCTCAAGCCTATAATGCCTTTTTCTTTTGCCAATGAATGTGTACATGGATTGGGAACACACTGAAAATTCAAGTAGTATTCATGTTGGCCTTAGCTCTTACATCCCATCAGGCCTTCTCGTGTCTCCACTGAACATTCCCTTCCCATCAGCCAGTGATGCCTGGAGAACTTATCTACCCCTTCCGTGGCTGTCTTACTTCCAGAGTGTCCCCATTAAAATACTGGTAGTTTGCTGCTTGCCTCAACTGGGACTGCAACCTTTTCTTTTCATTTAGTACCTATTTTGCTATTTTTTATTGACAGTGCCGCTGAGCAATAGTTTTAGCTGTCTTTTGGAAATCAGGCCAGCCCCTCTGGCTACACAGTTATTGGCTCTTATGGCCAGACTGCTCTGGTAAAACTTCTATTGATGGAGTGGCTGGGGACATTGGGGAAAGGAGGAGGAGGTATGGAAGTACTTCCAGGCAAGAATGCTTCAGATTCCCTGTTTCTAACTTGAAATTTGGCAGATTATCATGAACTAAACACTTCTCAGATTTTATATTTGCCCTTGGTTGATTTCCAGGACCCAAAAATGGTTTGTTTTTGACAATTTTGTTCATTTTTATACTTATTTTCTGGGAAGAGGATTTGCTGACCTCTTTATTCTATCACAGCTGGCAGTCCACTTCTATTGTTATTAATTTATAAAATTATTCTAAAAGATTACATAAATATATCTCATAACTCCTATATTAAGGTGATCAGCATAGTATAGGCTTGATTCTTTTAAACCAAAAGCATTTTGCCAAAACAATATAATTTTTATTTTAAAATCCAATTTATTAATAAATTTAAACTTGTGATTTTTAAAGACCATCATTCATTTTAATATATTCTATTTAATTATATAAATATAAGGTCTCAGTATAGTAAAGGATAAAGAATTTTTTAAAGATGGCCAAACCTGCATTAAAGAAATGCTCAAGCTATTCTAAAAGCTCTTCAAAGGCATAAAAGTCTCAATTATTTTAAAAAGTGTTTTAAATGAGCATTGCCATGCATTTTATTCTATTAGAATATAACCTTAAATGCTAATATGACTGTTTTATGTTCTTTGAGGAAAAATGAATATTAAAATGTTGTAGATTACTGAAGTGTTTTTGAAGTACCTAAGCTTTTTATTTTAATTTAAATTCATTTAAATTATTTTTCATTAATTTGATTTTAAACCTGAATACAAATATAGTGATAGTACTAGTTGCCATATAGACCTAGACCTTTCACTAATTCAGACCTTTCTTCCTTTCACTTATAAACAGTTGTTAAATATTCCTAAACACTTAGATGCTGGTCAGTGATGCTTTTAATATGCTACGTAATTTACAGGAATATCCTATTTTTAGATTGAAATTGGGCTTTATTATAGGGTACCATAAGACTACTTTCTGAATGTCTGGCTGTTATCCTTTTCTGTTTAGATATTAATGGGTTAAATACTAATAGCCAACCAAGTGACTGCTATGTGTCAGGTACTGTTCTATGTACTTCTGCGGTATTATCTCATTGAAGGGTCACAGTCAATCTCTGAGACAGATACTATCTATCATTAGCCAGTTACCAGATGAAGAAACAGAGACATAAAATGGTTAAGTGACTTTCCCGATAGCTCACAGCTACCAAGTGGTAGAGCAGGACTTGACCTCAAACAGTCGTAACCACAGAGCTCATGCATGTGCTTACCCACTTGCTATGTGGAACGAGGAAAAGATGACTTATAGAAGTAAAGTCCAAGTCTTTACAAAGAAGCATCAAATGAGCAGAGCTGCAGTGTGCCATGGTCCTAAGACTCCTCTAAGAAAATGTCCCCTGAACTGTAAGTGCCTATCCACCTCTTAGATAAGAGATGCCAAAGGGAGAGTGAGTCTAGGAGACAGTGGAGGCTGCATGATTGAACTGATTCTCCCTATTATGAGTGTTTCTGTCCAGTGGAAATTTAGAAGCCTAGGTTTCATTTCATTAAAGTTAACATGTCTTTACATCAATAAGATTGGATTATACCTCTTTATTCCTTCCATTGGCAACTGTGTAAGTCATCCCAAAAGAATTTAGACTACATTTATCTTTTTAAATTCCAGCTTTCTAAACAGTCATTATTTTAGTCCAGGACAATTTTAAATTTTTTTGCATTTTTCCTGCATATTTCCTATGCTCATTTCGCCATAGGGTCATCTGCCCCCACATTCTGTTCCTAAATCTCTGCGTGGTTGTTTTTTCCTTGTCATTCTGATCTCTGATTAAGTATCACCTTGTTTTAGTCCATTTAGGCTGTCATAACAAAAATACCATAGACTGGGTGACTCAACAACCAACACTTATTTCTCCCAGTTCTGAAGGCTACAAGATCCAGGATGAGGGCACTGGAAGATCCAGTGTCTGGTGAGGACCCATTTTCTATTTCATAGATGCCATCTTCTCACTGTATCCCCACATGATAGGAAAAGAGTGAGAGAGCTCTCTGGGTCTTTTTTATAAGGGCACTAATCCCATTCATGAGGGGTTCACCCTCATGACCTAATCACCTGCAAAGGGCTCCACCTCCTAATACCATCACCTTGGTGGTTAGGATTTCAACATATGAATTTTAGAGGGACACACACATTCAGTCCATTGTATTACCTCTTCCATGAGGCCTTCCCTTTCCAAGTCTAATGTCACCAAAATCCCTCCAGAATCATGTTACCCTGTTGTGTTTCCTTCGTAGGGCTTATAATTATCTGGATTATCTTATTTATTCATTCTGCATGTTTACTGGCTGTCTTCTGCACTGGAATCTAAGTTCCATGGGATCAGGAACATTGTTTATCTAAGAGATACAGTGGTCTCTATAACTATACCTAGAAATATTCTGGCAGACACATAAAAAAGATGATTGATTAATATATGTTGAATTACTTAACATTAGTTTAAGGCAGGTAAGGGAAACGAGACTCAAGTTGGACAGGAGGACTTGATATAGGCACAACCCATCAGGGCTTTGAGCCCAGGGCCCAGTTAGGGATGGGAATGAAGGTTGGGAAGAGAGCTGTAGAGAGGAAACTGATGCCTTGCTGGAAGAATCAGGCTACTGGTCAGAGTCACCTGGAGGTGGCACTCAGGGAGAAAAAAATGCCAGGAGATGCTAAAAATGCGACATACATGCAATAACCTACAACTAGTGGATAACTCATCCCCCACCACTGCCACCCCACATCTCCATACCCAGTGTCACCAATACAAGTGGAATTGTCCCTCCCAGTTCTTGTGAGTGGACGTGTGCATAAGCATGCAGACATGAATGTTTGGAGCTGAGGGCTAGAGGCAGCAGGGACAGCCACATAATTCATCCCATCAACAGCTCTGAGTTCAGCTTGCCCTTGGGTTGGCTAAGAGAAGAAACCAAGAGAAGAAGCTAGGCATCCCCTAGTCTAAATCCAGCCTACAAGCCTGTTTTACTGGTCCCACTCATGTTTAAAAATGTCTTGTGCCAACACTTTAATGTAGGAGGTTTAACATAAACTTCAGGTTTTCTAGGTTCGTTTCACAAATAGGAAGGTCTGGCATGCTGAACCTGCATTCCCACGTGGGACAGTTGGCCGGAGCAGAGTAGCCAGCATGGCCTTGGATGGGTGCACTCTGCAGTTCCTCCTGAGCCCCGTCATCTGCTGGTGTATTTAGCTGGCATTATCCCCTTAGGTCACCTGCTTCGTCTTCATAGGTATTTGAGTTTGCAGTATTGATATAATGGTTAATCCACAATATAAATAATCAATAAATGTATCATCAATAATAGTGTTTGTGTTGGTAGAACTTGTGCACTACATAGAAACCTCCTAGGGCTCCCCATTGCTTGCCAAATGATGTCCACATCCCTAACTTGGGTGCGGTCTGACCTATATCTTATATCCAGTTATTACCTTATAAAAGGAACAGAGTTACATTTTAGGCTTTTAACTTATAAAAACAGCCCTGTAGCCTTGGGAGAGACAGAAGGAGAGAAAGGAGGAAAAAGAAAAACAAAAACTCAAGAGACAGAAAGACAGAGAGAGAGACAGACAGAAGTAGAACAATTTAAATAGTGCAGGCCATCTCCTCCCATCCCTAGTTCTACTCATGGAACATGTGCCCACTGGCACTGGATACATATAGGCTTGAAACAACATGTTGACAAAATTTGTGTAAAGAAATATGCAAATGATTTTGATTCTCTTACCATTGACAAAAAGGTGAATAAAATGAATTGTTTAGGTTGTCGAACTACTGAGCTTTGTGAACATCCTTGAAGAAAAACTGAAGAACAATGATAGGCCAAAAAGAAACACTGGCCAACAGAGAGGGAACTGATAAAATGCAACTACAGTTTATATTGTGTAAACAAAAATGGGCGCCCTGCTATACTCGACCATACTGCTTTATCAATGAGTAGCCCTTTCTCACCAACTTTTTCTGATGTTTGGATTATAAATTACATTTGAAAATAGAAAATAAACCTGTATATTAATTCAATGACTTGGAATCTGAGACAAATCTTTATTTTAAAGGAGTAAACCAGATAAATTATTTTAGCCTTTTCAAAGTAACTCACACTGATCCTGGACCAATTCTGATTCTTACAGGAACATCCAATACTTGGGCAACCCTTTTTTGTACTTCATCCCTGCAAAACGAATGAATTCATGGCTCCAGTATTAAAGAATTCTCGGAAAATCAATAAGTAAGAAACACCATCAAGATACATTGGCTTCTACTCTGATTTTAAAAGTGTAAATCTTTCTATGTGACTCTAAAAGCTAGGCTAAAAAAGAAATATTATTTATAATAATAATAATGGCTAACACATTGATTTTTACTATATGCTAGATGCTGTTCTAAGAGTTTTAGATACAGTAAGACATTGGATTTTTGCAACATTCCTATGTGCTAAGTACCATTATTTTACCCAATTTACAGAGGAGGAAGCTAAAGAACAGAAGAATTAAGCCACTCAAACAAGGTCACACAGCTAGTTACGTGGTAGGATTTGAATCTAAGCATTTTGGCCTCAGAACCATGCTCTTAATCACTGCACTCTGCTACCTTAGTAAGTGCTGTAAACCACAAGGGTAAAATTTGAATCATCAAGGGGAGTCAGGAACCCCAGTATCTTACCTCATTCTTCATCTACCCTAATAAAGGATCCTCACAGGCTCTCTGGACCTTAAATTCTTGTCAAGCAATGGGGCTGGCATTCAGAAATGCTGAGATTCCAGGTGGTAGGTACAAATCTTTGAAGAAAACCTCATTTCTATTATTGTTGGTGACCAACTGATATTCTACCATTCATCCAAAAACTACAATGGAAACGTTAGCATGGCCTGTTTTTCACTTGTTTCCTAGGAATGTCAACTACATCACATCATGGCTGAGCATTGTAGGGCCAGTTGTTGGACTGAATCTACCTCTGAGTTATGCCAAAGCAACCTCTCAGGCTGAATGAAATGTCGATTAACAAGGTAAAAGAAAAGCCTGGATTTAATGTTTTGCTGTTACAAAGATCAGTGTCTCCATTGCATTTAGACTCATCCCACCAAATGTAAAATTTGCTTTCATCTTTAGTGGGCAAATCCTGACTTAATTTTTATTTTTCCAATCAGTCCCCTACCAAGTTATTTAGGACAGGGATCCCCAAATCCCAGGCCACGAACCGGAACCAGGCCTCACAGCAGGAGGTGAGAGGCAGCTGAGCGGGCGAGGAAGCGAGCATTACCACCTGAGCTCTGCCTCCTATCAGATCAGCTGCAGCACTGGATCCTCATAGGAATGTGAACCCTATTGTGAACTGCGCATGCGAGGGATCTAGGTTGCGTGCTCCTTATGAGAGTCTAACCAATGCCTGATGATCTGAGGTGAACCAGTTTCATCCTGAAACCATCTCCCATTTGGTCTGTAGGAAAATGGTTTTCCCTGAAACTGGTCCCTGGTGCCAAAAAGGTTGGGGGCCACCAATTCAGGAAATATTTTACTTTGCTGTAAGTAGCATGCACTCAATGACAGGAATGGATAGTTTTATTTTAGTACTGATATTCTTAAATAAGTCTTTACTGCTCAGTTAATCTTCTTTTGTTCTCTTGGCTTTTGTTTTGTGTTCTTCAGATTCTTCTATCGAGCTTAGAAATTGTGGTATGAAGAATGTCAAGAGTTTACCTGACCAGCCCTGGCTTTAATAGGACCAATACCATGGAATATTTCATCTCACCAAGATTTGACATGGATTATTTTTCCCTTGGACACAAATGTCTACAGCAACTGATATTTGATAGACCGAATGTTTAGAAGAAACATTTCAAAGGCGTACATCATGGCCAGGCATGGTGGCTCACACCTGCAATCCAAGCACTTTGGGAGGCCGAGGTGGGAGCATCACTTGAGCCTGGGAGTACAAGACCAGGCTGGGCAACATGGTGAAACCATGTCTGTACAAAAAAATACAAAAATTTGCCTGTTTGTGGTGGTGTGTGCCTGTAGTCCCAGCTACTCAGGAGGCTGAGGTGGGAGGTTGGCTTGAGCCCAGGAGGCAGAGGTTGCAGTGAGCTGAGATTGTGCCACTGCACTCCAGCCTGGGTGACAGAGCCAGACACTGTCTCAGAAAAAAAAAAAAAAAAAAAAAAAACCAAAAAAAAAACCACATCACTATAAATAGCAAAAAACGAATCTTAACTTACTAATACTAGGAATAACAACATTATTAGGGCACTTGCAGGTTATTCTTTTCTAGGCCAAGTACTTCACTTCCATTTGTCTGATATGGAGATTGAGGGAGAAATGTATTTGTGTATTCATTTTAATGTAAGATATACAAAAATTAAATTACTGGATTTACCTGTCCCTGAAACTGGTGTTATAAACATGACCTATCTTAAGTGATTCTCCCAGAATCAAACTCAGGAACAATAGATTATTTCTGTTTTACTCCAAAGATAGGGGAGAGAGAGAAAGAGAGAGAGTGTGTGTGTGTATGTATGTATGTGTGGGTGTTTGTGTAGACAGATAGATGTAAAATAAAGAAAAAAACACAATATTTTACTGTGAGACAATATGTTTTACCAGCGAAATGTGGCATAGTAATTAGAAGTTTTCTAAAAAGCTATAGAAAATATTTAAACATTAAGATTTCTTTTTGACCTACAGTAATAAAACAATGGTCATTTTACCCCTCTACTTCTCAACCCCACAGCTGCTCTGCTGTACTCTTTGAGGGCTCTTAAGCGAGTCTTCGTGTCCCTGAGACTTATTTTCCTCATCTTTAATTTGTAAATAACAAGCTACCCATAGGGTTGCTGTGAGAACCACATGAGATCATTAATGCATGATAAGATATTGTAAAGTATTATACAAATATTCATTAAATGTTCACCTTTCTTGTATATAATTGGTATTCACTCAGGCTGTAAATAAGTTTCATAGCCAGTTAAGTATTAAGATAAACCTAACCTGGAACCATTTTTTTTTTTTTTTGGTTGCTTGTTTTGTTTTTTGTTTTCATTTACTAGGAGCTGAAACTAAGATTAAAATGTCGTTGGGTTTTTAGAGAGTCTAGATTAGTGTCTTTCAATGAGAGATATGCTTAAAATCACCTGAGGATCGTTTACAGCTACAGATGCTGGGGCCACCTGACACAGTCTCTCTGGGGGTGATTCTGCTCTGGAGAACCTCTGGTCTGGATATACCTTTATTGTGACATTGATTTGTATTGTTTTGCTCTACTGACAGGCCTTTTCCAATCCATACAAGCTGAACTTGCTTCCTAATGTTTGTCTAGGCCTTACCTGGATAGGAAGGAAGCTTAGGAGACATGTTCACAAGGCAGCCGTCTTGTAGGAAACCAGTCCAGGTGAGGACATCATTCACCAGTGGATCACTGAGCACCATTGACAGCACCCTCAGTCCACATCTGCAGATTAAGAGCTGAACTCTCACAGAGAAAGTGGAAGTAGAGAAAGGGTTAATTCAAACTGCTAGAAAAGCTAAAAGTAAATTTTAAAATGCTGAGCTGCACATATTCATGCTAGGATGAGAGCCAGCTTAAATGCTTGCTGGGCATTTTGGTATTTACCGCTTAACATGTTTTCAACTTCTGTGAGGGATTTTCCCCCCACTCTCCCTAATGTAAACACAGATTTCTCGGCAAGTCATTTCTCAAGCCATGTCATTTCTAGTGTAAAATAAATTATAATAATGTGTCATCTGAATGGTGTTCTTGTCTGCAAATATTAGTTATCCTTTGCTAACAGATTCTGAGATGAGAGTCTATCAGTTTGGAGCCAACGTTTAGTTTTTTTTAAAAAGTTAAAAATAAAACTTTTTCTCTGATCAACAAGGACCTAAAAATTCATCAGTGGCAGAAAAAAGTTCTGAGGAGCTCCTGTAGATTGGGGAGGCCTTTCTCCCTAGATAGATCCCTCTCCTCGAGCAGCTTGATTTCTTTCTAGAATTGTTTTCACTTAAAAAACTTCTAATTTTTGGTTGATAACAATTTGCATTTTTATAAATGCAGTTATGCGAACGGAATGTTATCCTGACAGTTATTAAACATTAGAAGATACTTGGTTTTGTTGAAGTAACTGTTCTTTCTTGGCAATATGAAGAATTTTTCTCCCTGCTTCCTCATATAATGTACAGCATCTTCTATCAGAAATCAGGCTGGGTAAAGCCGCTTCCAGCTAACCTCCTAAATTCTGCTTCTGTGTGACCTTGGAAAAATTTATTCACCTCTGTGGTCCTCAGTTTCTTTATTTGTAAAATGGGGAAATTCAGCTATGTGTCTTTTGTGACAACCGTGAATTTTTAGGTCTGTGAAATAGAAGTCCAGAGATCTAAACTGTGAGGCTGGTTAGCTGCTAGCTGTGTGACTTGGGCCAATTTTCTTATCTCCTTCTTAAACTATTTCTGAAAAATAAAGCCCACAGTATCTATGCTGCTTACCTGACAAGGGCATAGAGAAGATCAAAATGCTGCATAAAACTGAATGTGCTTTATAACCAAGGCAGTGAGACATGGAGTGAGGGGTGACAGTGGATAATGACCTGCTCCTTCAGGGACACCAGCATCCCTACTCCTCCCCACCTCACTGCATGCCGGAGCCCTCCCCAGTGCCAAGCGCGCTCTGATCTGGGGAGTCTTCTGCTTCACACCCTTAGCCGATTGTTGCTTATGCTGGTACCCACCTGGAAGTGCTTCCTTCCCCACAGATCTACCCAATTCCCACCCTGGTGTTGGTGATTTACTCTCACAAAGCCACCTCTGACCACCACAGCCCTGAATCAGTGCTCCCTTCATTACTCACTGTGCTTTGTCACTATGAGCTTTTAGCTGCCTCTCTTCCACTCTGATTTCTCCCCAACTTGATAAGTATGAATTAAGTCATTTCAGGTGTTGGCCACTGTTCTTGATTTACTCTGTTGCAGCATACACAGAAGAATGTCTGTGTGTGCCACGTAAGTAGAAAGGCTCTTGGGTTGGGAATTTGAGAGGTGGGAAAACTCTTTGAGGAACCAGTGGAGGGAGCAGTGGAGGGAGCAGAGTCTGTGTTGCTCAGCAGGTCCTAGCTTACAAGCTAGAGGTTAAAAAAAAACACAAAATTCACCTTTCCCCCAATAAACGCTTATTAAAATCAAGAGAAAAAAGGCCAGAACTGGGTTTTTGCATGTACTTCTCCTATGATAGGTATAGTGGTTTTTATTCATACTCCCAAAATATTAGAAAATAGAACTCTGCAATGTCAAAACCAGCTCTTACATAATCCAGAGATATTCCAGTGAGGTTTTTTTAGGATTGAAATTTGAGAGTGAGAATATGAAAATACTCACTTCAGCAGATTTCCTCTTACATACTGAATCCTAGGCCAGGTGCCACAGATAGCAAATGGGGAGACATAACAATGTCACAGTTCAGTGAAGAGGACACACAAGAGGACGCTTCAGGAACAGTAGGCTGCATGCTGTGGGCAAGCACATGCCAAAGAAGGCTTTGCAGAAGAGGAATGTGAGTGGAATCTTGAAAACCTTATGACTTAGTCAGGTCAAGAGTGAAGGAAGAATCTTGAAGGTGCTTGTGGGGAAGTGGTGAAGAATCAAGCTGGCTAGCAGGACTGGGGCCAGCTCTGGAAGAGCCTTTACTGTCACACTGAGAATTTGTATTTGGCCTGAAAACCACAGCCACTGCTGGGATTCAAATAGAAAAGTTAAAGTGATCACATTTGCATTTAAGAAAGAACCTGTATTTTTAAAATGGCTGCTGCATATAACTAATCATCCATACACTTTGTCAGGTTTGGTTTAGTTTGGTTTGGTTTTTACCACAGAATCTTAGCCACAGGATTTAGAAGGTTGAGGAGCACAGCAGGAGCTGAGATTGTGCCAAAGACACTTTTCAGTTTTTACCTAGGGTCTTCCAAAACAAAACCTGCCAGTGTCCTGAAAAGCCTTGAATCCTGGCTACTGAGTTACCTGGGGCAAGTCACTGCACCTCTCTGGGCCTCTGTTTTCTGACATATTAACATAAGGAAGTATATTTGATTGAGTAAAATCAATTTATTTTTTGTAACAAGGTTTTTTTTTTTTTTTTTTTTTTTTTTTTGAGATAAGGTCTTACTCTGTTGCCCAGGCTGGAGTACAATGGCTTGATCTTGACTCACTCCAGCCTGACCTCCTGGGCTCAAGGGATCCTCTCACCACAGCCTCCTGAGTAGCTAAGACTGCAGGCACATGCCACCATGCCTGGTTAATTTTGTTTATTTTTTGTAGAGATGAGGTTTCACTATGTTGCCCAGACTGTACTTGAACTCCTAGACTCAAGAGATCCTCCTATCTCGGCCTCCCAAAGTACTGGGATTACACAGGTGTAAGCCACTATGCCCAGCCAGCTTTTTTTTTTTTTTTTTAAATGAAATGGAATACATAAAAAATAAAATATCAAAGTGCACTACACATAGTAAGGGCATTAGTGTTTTGTGAAACTTTGTTTTCAACTATATGTTATATACATATATACACACACACATATATTTTATATATATATGAAATCAATGTCTATGTGTGTGTCCACACACACACGTGCACATGTGCACTGGGTTGTGATATAGACTGTATTTCTAGTGCCAGAAAATAGAAATCTGAAAACTGATGGACTAATAAGCTTCCTTCCTATTCTAAGACTTGATTTTCCTTATGCTGCTGACCAGTAAGTTGTCGAAGGCTATTCTATTAGTAGAAGAGTATAGGAAGTACTTAACAATTATTGTGTCTGTGGCACTTCATGTGCACAAAGGTGTTCGAGCTACTCCTCTGGATTTTTATAGGGCTTCTCTATAGAAGCATTTTCACATTTGTATTCCTAAATCTGATAGTTCTTTACAGTAATCCTGTGATCTCAAGACCTTGCTTTAACTTTTGTGTTGTTAGTAGTGACATCTAGTGGTTCTGTTGCAAGCATCCTGCATTCTAGACTATTGGAGCTGAAAGTGATTTTAGTGACCACCAGGTCCCATTTTGTAAATTATTAAAAACAAACTGAAAACTCACATGTATTCCTACATTCAAATCAACTCGATATAATAATAAATAAAACCTATAGCTATGTAGTGCTTTCTTGGATTACTTTGAAGCTTTTCAAATACCCAGAAGTCGCTGTTGGTTGTAACCATGAGGCAGAAATTTAACAAAGCATGCCCTGATAAAAGAAAATCATATTTCAGCATAGCTACAACCTTTGGTGCATTGTTATTTACAGGTACATGCCAGAACCTCAGGCTTTTGCATGGTGCCTGGTGTTTGGTAGCACTCACTAAATCTTTGTTGAATGTTTGAATATGTGGGTGATCACGAAGCCCTGGAGAAGAATCATAGAAGATGTGAGACTTGAAGGATAGAGAATTTGATAAGAGACTAGAAGGCTAAGCTTTTAAGTTAGGGGCCATGGAAGGCCAAAAAAGGAACCATCAGTAGGACCCAACAGGGCACCTTTGAAGGTTTTAACAGAGAAAGTTGACTATGTGGAGTTGTTGGAGGACTCATTGGGAAGTGGTAAATTGAATGGATTAGAAGGAAGAGAAACTGGATAGAGGCCAAGAAACTAATGTAGTGGTGAAGTGATGAATTTCTAAGTTAGGAAGGTGACAGAGTAAAGAGAAAGAGATCAGTATCAGAGACATTTTGAGAACCAGAACTTGGTGTGAAGAGAATGAGAAGACACTTGTCATGACTTGGTTATGGCTTAGATTCTATAGTGGGAATCCCTGTCCAGGCCTGGACCGACTTCGTTGGTCTCTGTTCTGCAGGTATCAGGGACTGAACTTGCTTTCTTCTTTCAAGAAGTGCCACCCACCCTATCCCGTGAGAAGATTTCTTTCTCCCAACCAGCAGCAGAGTGAGATGTAGTCTCCTCAGCACTGTCCTTCAGTAGGTTCAAAGAAAGAGTCCCCAGGCCCTTTCCTGCTTATCCATAGGGAAATGACTAAATAAAATGTTGTACTATGTAGCAGTTAAGGGGAATGAATTCAATCTCCATGTATCCAAATGGGCACATCTCAAAAAACATTATTGAGTTAAAACAGAAAACAAATAGTAGATGTTAACTATGAACTGTGTTTGAAAGCATCCCCCCAGAAAGCATGTATGCATTGGAAAGCTAATCACTGTTTTAACAGTATTAAGAGGTGGGACATTTAAAAGATGATTAGGCCATGAGGACTCTGCCCTTTTGAATGGAATAATGCCTTTGTTACAGGAGTGGTTCCTCTCAAAAGAATGGGCTTGGCACCCTCTTGCTTACTCTCTCTCACCCACATGATGCCTTCTACCATGTTATGAAGCAGTAAGAAGACCCTTGCCAGATGCAACCCCTCAATCTTGGACTTCCCAGCCTCCAGAGCTGTGAGCCAATAAAGTTCTGTTCATTATAAATTACCCAGTCTGTAGTGTTCCATTATAGCAGCACAAAATAGACTAAGAAGTCAGTATGCATGCAGCTTGATACTGTTTATATTTTAAAAGGCACTAATACCATGTATTTTCTATAGGTACATATACTGCAAGTGTATGGAACATATAAAAAGTGATCTTGAAGGAAGGACACCAGATTTGTAAAAAAGGGAATCAAAGATTTCTCTGATCACTCTCTGCAGGTTAGAGTGGGAACTTGGTTTGAAAGTGATCAAAGAAGACTTTGGCTCTTTTTGTAATGCTAG